AACAACAACAACAACAACAACAACAACAACAACAACAACAACACCAGCACCAACAACACCAGCACCAACAACAACAACAACAACAACAACAACTACCACAACCACGACAACAACAACAACTACCACAACCACGACAACAACAACAACAACTACCACAACAACAACAACAACAACTACCACAACAACTACCACAACCACAACAACAACAACGACAACACCAGCACCAACAACAACAACGACCACGGCGCCCCCGTGGGTGCGGTACGGGCCATCCGAGTACAAGTTCGATGATGTATCAAAAGTTGTGTTTGACGACGCAGAGGCGCTGTGCGAGCAGGAAGGCGGCACCCTCGCCGTCATCCTCTCACAGGACGAGTACGACTGGGTGTTTGCCGCCGCGTTGAACATGAGTGCAAACAGGGAGGTGTGGCTGGGTGGCATTTTCCCCACGCGCGGGCAGCTGGAGTGGATTGATGGCTCGCCTGTCGTTGACTTTGGCATTCCGTGGGTTGACGGTGATCCTTCTGGGGGCGACTTGGAAGCGTGCTTGCTGTTCAACGTAAGGGACCCGAGTGAGAACCCGAGCGGGTTGTGGGAGGACACGCGCTGCTCGCGCTCGCGCTCATTCATCTGTGAACGGCCAGCACCCACAACCACGACTACCACTACCACCACCACGACGACGACGACAACAACAACAACAACTACCACCACCACAACAACAACAACAACAACCACGACTACCACAACAACCACCACCACGACAACAACTACCACCACAACAACAACCACTACAACTACCACCACAACGACGACGACGACAACAACAACTACGACCACTACCACAACAACCACCACGACTACCACGACTACCACAACAACCACCACCACGACAACTACAACCACGACAACGACAACAACAACAACAACTACAACAACAACAACAACAACAACAACAACAACAACAACAACAACAACAACAACAACAACAACAACAACAACTACAACAACTACCACCACGACGACAACTACAACAACAACAACGCTCCCTGAGAGCCTCAACAACCCAAAGGCGTCGGACAAAGGCCCTGCAACGGCATCCACCGGCTTCACGTCGTCTGTCGTGCAGGTATACCTCCCAACCCATTCACACGAACATGTGCACACACACAACTGCACACACACATTCACACGCGTACCTCACCTCACCTCACCACAATCTCTGCTTCTTCCCTCACCACCACAACCACCACAACCTCCCTTACCACCACCACACGTGCCAGGCGCTGTCCCGCGTGTACGACAGCATCGCTGCGAGCTTGGCCATGGGCGGAACCACAACTGCTTCGGTTGGGTCCACAGTCGTGTCTGCGTCGCGCGTCGAGTCAGCCGTTCTGAACGCGTTTAGTGTCGCGTTTCAGAACGACTCCATGGCTGGTGTGGCGCTCCCAGGAAACTTTTCCAACTTTCTTCCTGACTCTGGCGGCTGTCCTGTGGACGTGTACTCCAGCTACTTGAAGGATTCCGCCAACTCAACCACAGGTGCCATGATCGGTCCAGTATGCGCGCGCGCGCGTGTGTGTGTGTGTGTGTGTGCGCATGTGTGTGCGTGTGTACGTGCATGTATGTGTCAAAGCCTTGTCGTAGTCTACGTTCTACGTTGACAAGTTTTCTTCGCATATCTTCTCCCCCCCCCCACACACACACACACAAACGATTATCCCTAATCCACTCACCCTTCCCTCCCCCCCCCCCAAAAAAATCCTTGCCTTCACCAACTGCAGGCAGCGTGATTGACTTTGAGGTGCGCACGGTGAGCGGGTGCAACACGAATGGTACCGACGACAGCAACAACACCACCAGCACGGCGTCTGTCCTTCGTGTGGATGAGCTCGACTCGCCCATTGTGTTTACGTTTGAACTGCCGCCAGGCATCCCGCGCTACCAGATGGTGGCCGTGTTCTGGAACGACACGAAGCGCCGCGAGAACTGCACTGTCACCGCGAGCGAAGACTGCATTGGCGCGTGGGACACGGAGGGCGTCTCCCTCATGTTTCCCGATGATGATAATGGTGGTGACGGTGGTGATGGCAGTAACAACAACAGTGGCAACGACAACAACGACAACAACGACAACAGCAACAGGCGCCGTCGTGATGCTGCGACGACAACAACAGCGTCTCCATCCACAACACCGTCAGGTGGCAACATGACGATGGTGCAGGTGCAATCCAGGCACCTGCGTGGCCGCGCGTATGCCATCTCCATTGACTTTACGCTTGAGCCGCCAGAGGTGACGCTGGCCAACTTTGACCCGCGCAACGCCCCTTACGTGTGGGCGCTCTTCTGCTCGCTGATTGGCTTTGTGCTGCTGGTGCTGCTGTACTCGTGGGTGGAGCTGCGTGCGTACGAGTACAGGGAGCACCTCATCTCCAGCTTCAGCATCCCCGCCGAGCAGTTCAACGAGCGGGTGTGGGACATGCAAGTGAGCAAACACAGCTACCCGGTGGCCCTTCTCATCCGCTTTGGGTGGTACCTTCGCTCGCGGCACGCCTGGGCTGCGGTGATCCTGCCACAGGGCATATCCGCACGTCCACAGCGCAGCCTCAAGGTGCTGGCGCTGATCGCCTCCATCTCCATGGCTGTGGCCATGAACAGCGTGTTCAGCTACGCCGCCGTCAAGAACCCGGACAAGAACGTCAACGCCATCAGCATCACCCTCAACGGCAGCACCTTCTACGTGCCACTCGAAGGCATCTATGCGTTTGCCCTGACCTTCCCCTTCTTCTACCTCCTCTCCATGGCGTTTGCGCGCTTCCAAACGCTCCTTGGAAAGCTGCAGCAGCTTGCACCGGAGCTCTACACCAACCGCATCCCGCCGCTGCCTGTCGCTGAGCCCCTGGCTGCCACGTGGGCCGTGTCCTCCATCAAGCGCGACACGAGCGTGCCCGCGTCCGCGCTGGACGACCTTGACGTGGCGGAGGTCGTGACGCAACATGTTGCGTCATCGCGCAGCCGCAGCCGCAGCCGTCTCGGCTCCGCCCTGGGCGACATCAGCCCACAAAGCGGATCGTTCTTCCAGGAGAACGAGGAAACAGCGTTTACAGAGAGCACGATGGAGACTGCAGCGGCCATGGCGGCGTTGGCGGAGGAGGAGGAAGAGGAGGAGGAGGAGAAAAAGAAGGAGAAGAAGGAGAAGGGGGTGGAAACGGTGCATGCAGCGAAGAAGCAGAACAACAAAACGGAAACAGCCAGCGGGCGCGTCTCGAACGCCACAGACAAGACGCAGGGCAGCACGCACTCACAACAGCACGAGCACGGGAACGGCGTGCACCGCACCAGCACCGACAACAACAACAACAGCAGCAGCAGCGACCAGCAGGAGAAGGAAGGGAGGAGTGGTGGCGGGGATGAAGCTGGTGGTGTCAATGGAGCCAAGCACGGTGAGGGTGCGGGCACAGCGAGCAAGGAAGACGAAGGAGATGGTGACGGCGCGCATGTCAGTGGAGAGTACATGGAAACCACAGCCGCTGATGCCCAAGGCAAAGATGGTGAGGTTCTGGTGCTGGATGATCTTGCCGCCACGACAGGCGACAGCGACGGTCACACCGACAACAACAACGACGCTGATGGTGCCGACGACGCCGACAGCGTGACCATTGTCCTTGACGATGACAACGAAGATGGTGGCGGTCGTGATGGTGGTGATGGCGGCAACGACAACAGTGACCGGAGTGATGGTGGCAGCAGCAGCAGCGCTGGCACGAGTGACAACGCTGGCTCTGCGCGTCACATGGAGTATCTCGACATTGAAGGCGCCAATAGCGGCCACGACGCTGATGCTGACGAGCTCTATGCCGTGTACGGCGATGATGACAACAACAACAACCACGACGACGACAACAACCATGGCGATGGTGATGATGATGTGGCAGCAGACAGCGACGAAGAGGCGGCCCTTGACGCGGCCATGGCCGTTGCGCTCGACTTTGAAGAAGGCGATGCGCAGGAGGGAGATGATGGTGCTGATGGTGATGAGAGCAGGCTGCTGGCGCACGCAACGTCATCGACAGACACAGACACGCCCGCACGTGCTGCAAAGGACTCTGCTACAAACACCACCACCACCACAACTTCCCGTAAGCCGCTCAACCGCCAGGGATCGTCTGCGTCGCGCATCCTCATCCTGAGCACCGACGACGACGATCAAGGCGGCGTGGTGGTCGTGGGTGATGGCGGTGGCGGCCGCCGCAAACAGAGTGACACAGATGACATGGATGGCAGCGGTGGTGGTGTTGTGCTGGAGGGTGCTGGGGGTGGTGGTGGCAGCAATGCATCTCGCAACTCCATGGCGTCGAGGACATCGTCGTCGGCATCTGTTGACTCTGATGCCGAGCTGGCGGCGGCGCTGCGCTTCAGCGTGGATGTGCGCCCGCGCGCGGGACCGGGCGAGCAGTTGCAACTGCGTCAGCTGCACCAGCAGCAGCATGCGCCCAACGCGCCCCCGCCTCTCTCGCCAATTCTGGACGAGGACCACAAGGGCGGCGTTGATGAGCGCGATCTCGAGAACGGCACACGCAACGCCACGGGGGCTGACGGTGGTGCTGGCGATGGAGGCAAGGCGGCGAAGCGTTGGTCATCGCAGTCAGCCGAGGCTCATGGCGACGACAACAATGATGCACCTGGCCAAGAAGAGACGGTGGCGTCGACCATGACGCGGGAGGAGGTGCAGCGCGCGTTGATTGAACTCCACCACAGCATGAATTTTTGGCGCCGGTTCTGCTTTGCGCTGTCGGCACTGCTGATTCTGGCCGGGTGGGCGCTGACGCTGGTGTTCATGGGCTCTGTGGAGCGCGAGCAGCAGGAGCGGTGGCTCAAGGGGTGCCTTGAGTTTGTGTTTTTGTCTGCGATTATCACTGCGCCGATTGTGCTGTTGATTGGCGCGATTCGGCAGCAGTGGAGGCTGCACCGGTGGCGGCGGCGGCACACGGAGGAGGAGTGGGAGGCGCTGATTGTGGAGGAGAAGCAGAAGACGAGCAGCATTGCCATGACCATGACCAAGGCCATGTTATTTACCGAGATTGGCCGCGCTGTTCGCGCAAACTTTGACATTTACATCCTTTAGCTGTGTGTGTGTGTGTGTGTGTGTGTGTGTGTGTGTGTGTGTGTGTGTGTGTGTGTGTGTGTGCAACATAGCAACCCGATTGAAATGCAGCCCCCACCACGTTGTTGCTTTGTGTGTGTGTGTGTGTGTGTGTGTGTGTGTGTGTGTGTGTGTGTGTGTGTGTGTGGTGTGTGCTTGTTGCTCTGTGAGTAGTTCTGGATTTGCTTCTCCTTGCGTGCGTTGCGCACACAATTGCAGCTGCGACTGTTGTCGCTGTTTCCTTCGACGTTCAAGCCATACAAAGCATTGATGAGCGAGGGTGTGAGATAGTGTGTGAGTGTGTGGCTTCCCCTCGTTCTTTGTCTTTGCGGATGAGACATTCACTGCACACACCACCTCGCCTCTAGTTCTCTGCTACATTTCATCACCATTGCATTTGTCAGTTTCCACGGAGTTGTCATGTGTGACAGACACACCACTGCATGCACACAGCTGTCACTGTGTGCCACGTCAGCATCAGCACTTTATCTTGGTTTGCATGGACTATCCACCACGGCTCATTGTAATCACGCCAGTGCCAAACGGCCAATAGGCCAATCAGAAGCAATCCTTGACAAGTGTGCACACACGCACGTGAGGCGCCGGGCCTGTTGATTGCAATCTTGCATTGGATGGGGATGCCAAACGAGTGCTCTGCTTGCTGGTTTGTAAGCTTGCCCACGCACCTACTCATGGGACCCCAACCAACTTTTGGAAGTGGCTTGAGGCAACTTTGTCCAGCAACACTGAAGTGCAAGAAAAGTGCTCTCTGAACATGCACACATGTGACTTGTGGGCGTGTGAGTGTGGGAGGTGTGTTTGGTCGTGTGCGGTGTGCGCTTGCACGGACGGCTGAAATTTGTTTAAAAATTTTGCGAAAGAAAACCCATGGATATCTTCCACAGTGTGTGGTGCGGACAAAATCGCCAATCACCGTCAGCTCGACGTGGCGGTGTGTCACTTTCGCAGGTTTGGCGTGTGGTCTGTGGTTGCGTGACTGTGCAAGCAATACAGTCCCACATCTGCTTTTCCGTGCTGGAAGTGGCTTTGTTTGCTCATGGTTTGCGACCATTCATCCCACCCAGCGAAAATTGTTCCCAGCGAGCGGGGCTTGGTTGCACTGGGGCGTGCGTTGATGATGTGTCGCATATTGGTGGGGTTGTTGTTGTCGGCGGTGTGTTACCAACCACCTGAGTGCACCATCACAAGACAACAGCCGTGTGTGTGTGCGGGTGCGTGCTTTTGCCTGTTGTGTGTCATTTGTGCAAATGCGTGACAAACCGACGATATCGCCAACCACGCCTGACAAGAAGTGCGGTCAGAGAGGCGGATGCGCTGCTTGTTTGCTTGTCAATTGGTGAGTTGAATGCCGTGTCCTCTTCTGCTGTGGCGGCAGTGGGCCATCTTTCTTCTTTGGCCCACCTTCCCACACCACATCGTTGTTGGGGGGTTCTCTTTGTTGTTGTCGTGCTGACTTGTGGCAACAAAGAGAGAGACGCACAAAGAAGTTCACGCACACACACACACACGCACACGCACACACACACACACGCACACGCACACGCACAGGTTTTGCAGTCCTTTGCTCCCCATGGCCGACGACGTGCCTCACCACCACCACAACAACAACAGCAACAGCAGCAGCAAGAACAACAGCAGTAAGAACAGCAGCAGCAGGAGCAGCAGCATCGTTGTCCTCTTCCCCATCAACCTTCTTGGTGCCAGAACAGGTGCGTATGTCCTGCTGAGCTGAACTCTGCTGTGCTTGCTTGTTGTCACACGCAAGCAAGCACATCCACAACGAACTACACACTCTCGACTCACGCCATCCTTTCAGTGAAAGACCACTTCCAACCCGTCCACCACAAAGACATTTCACAACCTCAACGCATTCTTCTGCTTGCACCGCCACACATCCTCTTTGTTCTGCTTCACCACCGCCACCTTGCCTTTCTCTCGCGTGCGTGCTTCTTTGTCCCCCCCCCTCACCTTTCTCTCTCCTCCAGCCTTTTGGTTTTTCTTCCTACGTTGCCTCTTGCCTCTCCTCTCCTTCCTCTGTCAGTGCAATCTTCCCCACGACGTGGTGGTGGTGGCACTGTCCACTTGTTCATTTCCATCTCATTCCCACATTGCCTTTGCTTCTTGCGTGCCCTGTGGGCTCTGTGCATTGACTGCTCCATCTGGCCCAAACTGCCAGTGGTGTTCCCTCTGTTCTCACCCTTCTTTACCACCAACTCCTTCACACACGCACACCACACACACACGCATATCCACACACACGCATATCCACACACCCCACGCACACCACATACACACACGCATATCCACACACCCCACGCACACCACACACGCACACACACACACACGCATACAAACAAACGTTGTTTGTCCGTCTCACACACACACACACACACACACTGCTGCTCACACGGACAACCACCCGACCGATCTTTGTTCCCTGCTTGTTGTCCTGTCCACAGTGCTGTGGGTGCTGTTGTGTGTGGTGCACCACCTACCTTTGCACCCACCATCCGATGGCACCTGCTTTCCCCTCCAACGCCTCCACAGCACCAGTGTAATAAAACACACGACGATGGACACCCACACACCCACAACAATCACTATCACTCGGCATGGCGATTCGTCCGCGGCCCAGCAACACCAACAACAACAACAACAGCAACACCAACAACAACAACAACAGCACCAACAACAACAACAACAGCAACACCAACAACAACAACAGCACCAACACCAACACCAACAACAACAACAACAACAACAACAACACCAACAACAGTTTGCTCCGGACGAAGGCACCGACGACACAGGCAAGACCAGGAATGGACCTCCGTCGCCACAGCCTCGCTCGTGGTGCCCTCATTCGCCCTCATCTCCAATGGTGCCATCACCATCACCACCATCACCACCACTGCCATCGCCTCCAGGACGCCATGACCCAACCCCCACGCGAAGCCACGACGCCAACCTGGACGCCACTTCCACCAACCACACCAACCGCACCAACCTCGTTGTTGTGAGCACCAAGCAAATGCCTCGCATGCCAGCAACCCCACAGCAGAGAGCAGAAGTGAGAGAAGCAATGGAAGGCCGCAGTGCTCGTCAGCACATCAAAGCGCCAACAACACCCACTGTTCACACCTGCACCTCCCATGGTCACTGCCACGCACAACTCCAACCACCACGGTCGTCACGTTGCACCAAGGCCATCGACTTTGCACCAAGCGGCACACACACAATCCTCGTCCAACCACGACCACAAGTGCAAACGCAAAAGCAGCAGCAACAGCAGCAACAACAGTACACACCCTCGCTTGTCCAGCAGCGGGGTGTGTACACCCTGCGACTCTCGTCATCCTCAGACCTGACGTCTTCCTCTTCCACCGACACTGACACCCTATGCGACGCCGCTGAGCGGTCTCCTTCGCCCCAAACGCATCTGTTGAGACAGCTGCTCACACCAAGCCAGTCGCACGTTGCGGCCATGGCGTCAGAGCTCGTGCTTCCTCCACCAGCGTCCGCGTGTGGCAGCAGCGATGATGGTGATGATGATGATGACAGCGACCACGACAGTGAGGGTCAGGTTCACGACGGGCAAGGCGAAGCAGCGCAGCCGTTCCTCCACGTCCAACACCAGCACGGTCACAACGGTATCATGAACAAGAACACGTGCGACAAGAACAAGACCACCCGCCACCGCCGCCTTCTTCACCACCACCAAGTCAGCCACGGCAGCAGCAGAATTCATCGCGGCAAGGAGGAGCGGCAAACGAGAGTGGCACCCACCCCAAACTTCAGCGACACCGACACCGACAGTGACAGCGACGAAGAAGAAGACACGGACGATGACGACGACCGTGATGTCAGTGAGTACTGTGGCACAGTGTGGAACAGCCACCCCTTTGATGATATCCGCAGCCTGAGCAACACAAAACCCAGCGACGATGATGATGATGATGATGATGATGATGATGATGATGATGATGATGATGATGATGATGATGATGATGATGGGGTGAATTTGGGGTACAGGGACTTTGATGAAGCGTATGAGTGCGAGACACATGCCGACTTCCGGCTCGCGAGACGAGAGGAACGTCCCACCATGTGGTGCTTCGTGTGCCTGCAGGACTTTGACAACACACCGGAGACAATCGTGCGCTGCTGCCGCAGTGGCCACTGCACGGTGTGCTGCGACTGCTTGCTGCACTTTCTCCTCTTCCACGACGTCAACAGGTCCCTCCACCACATGCAGTGTCCAGGCACGTGCCGTACCACCATCAACCTGCCGACCTTGCTTGAAAGCACGCCGTGCCTTGATCCCGACACCAAGGAATACTACTTCTTCGCCCTCTCCAACCACAAGCACCAAAGCCTTCGCATGTGAGTGGGCTTTGTGCGTGTGTGTGTGTCTGTGTGAGTGTATCGTGTAATGTGTGGCGCGTGTGTCGTATATGTATGTATGCGTGTGTTTGTATGGCGCATGTGTCGTGGCTCTATATGTGTGTGTTTACTACTTGCTTGCTGTTATGTGTGCTGTCTGTTTGTGTGTTTGGCGGCGAATTCCCCGCGTACATCTCACCCCCCTTTCCTCCCTGTTTCTGTTCCAATGCCAAACCACTCGCCCCGTTCCGTCCATTTCCCTTGTCGCAATCGACACGTCCAGCTGCCCACGTTGCCTGCGTGCATCGCACGGCAGCCACCGCCATCCCCGTATCACATGCCAGCATTGCGAGTGCACGTTCTGCTTTCACCACGGTGCGTTGGCCGTCGCTGCTGTGAATGGTGCCATGGTGGCATCCTTGTCACGGGTCAACTCGAAACGTTCACACATACATACTTTCAAACACGTACTCGCTTACAAACTCACACACGCTCACAAACATACAAACACACACGCACATGGTCTCACATCGTGCTGCCTCCTCACAATCCCTCCCGTTCACACGGTACACACACGCGCACACACGCACATACACACGCACATACACTCCGTCTTTGAACTCCAAAAACGTGAGCAGGCGTGGAGTTGACTGGCCGCTGTCGCGCGTGTTCACCACCCCTCCTCCAAACCATTCGCACCCGCTTGTACCTGTGGAGGAAAACACGCAAGTGCCCCAAGTGTGGCCTGAGGTTGCAGGCGCCACACGGTTGCACATATGCGCAGTGCACCTGTGGCCAGTGCTTGTGCTGGCACTGCGGAAAGCCCTACCACCCGGTGCGTGCATATACAATACTTACAATACTGGCTTGTTCCCACTTGTTCGAGCGAAGGACCAACGCATTGCCTTCTGCTGTTGTGTCCTTTGGCATCACCCCACTTGACCACATGGACTTGCTTGCTTGGCTTGCGTGCATGCATGCACGCACATTCCCACCTCACCTCCACCCACAAACACGCCCTCATGTGCGTGCGGTCATATGCGGTCACATGTGCAGATGCGCCATGGCCGCGAGTTGTTTCCGCCTGTCCATCGGCTGCGAGAGCAGTGCAATGACTCATCGTTGTGGTTGAGGCGCGCTGCCGTGTTCATGTGTGCGCCACCAGCACTCGTGCTTGTTGGTCTCTCAACCCTGATTGCAAGTCCGTTCATCGCCACCTACCGCATCGGGTGCGAATGACCTGCTCTGCTTTTGTGTATGTGTATGTGTGTGGGTGTGTCAGCTACTTCTGTGCACGTATGTCCACAACATACATATTTTGTGTATTTGTGTGTGCTCGCTTGTAGAGAGGAGCTGTTTGTGCTCGTCTGCTCGTGCTTGTTTGCGTGCTTCCTGTGGTTGTGCTTTGCTTGCGAAAGCGACTCCCTTCGCCATTTGGTAGTCTTGCTTGCATGCCAGCACGACAGGTTTTATTGTCATATCTCAACCATAACTCACCAGCTGCCAACCACATGGTGCTGAACATGCTGTTTCGATTCTCACTGCCATCATCAGGAGATGCCTTTGCGGCGGGTGCTGTGAGAATGGTGATGACCGCCGTCTCCGTCGTGGCCGCGCCAGTTTTGCAGCCGAGGAGGTGCGGCTGCTTGTCCGTGTTTGCTTACATGCCTCTATTTTTGTTTCTGTCTCTGTGTCTGTCTCCGTCTCTGTCTCTTTACATTTCTGCCACTCTCCTCCGCTCCTCCCTGGCTCTCTGCCTCCCTGCCTCTCTGCCTTTCTGCCTCTCTCCTCCCTGGCTCCCCATTCCACTGTATTGCTGTCTGTTTCTTTGTGTGCACTCACGCGTCGACTTCGTTTACACTCACAACTCTACCCATATCATCACTTTTGCTCCCCCCCCCCCTCGTCCACGTTGTTGGTCAACCCTACAGGTCTCGTGTCAATCCCTTCCCGGCAGATCATGACACCGCTTTTGTGTGCAACGATCCCTCACTTTGTGCTGCTGCATCGCTGTACGTCTGCTAGCGCTACACTCAAGATTCCTCTCGACGGATACGCGTCAGCGTTTCCACCGGCCTCGTCGCTTCAGACGTTTGGTGTGCTATGCCACCTGTTACAATCCCTTAAACCCTTGTTACATTGCACGAGACAGGGCGCACTCTTCTCCCTCGCCTCGCTCGGCTGCTGGTTTCTCCCCTCGTTACAATCAGGCTCTTGTTGTTACTTTTGCAGATTTGCACTGGGGTCTGTGACCCGCGCCAGTGAACCTTGGCGGTGTGCGAACGCATTGTTCTCATCATCTCCACTGACTTCACACACGTGTTCTCTTCCCGCCCAAAACGACGTTGTTACCACTGCATGTGTTTCGCACCTCTCGTCCTCTGTGTTAATTACTATTGTTGGGGTTTGATTCAGCTAGTCAGCTTAAAGTTCTGAAGTTGCATGCAACACTTTACTACGAAACCTTGAGCGACTGTTTCCCCTTCCTATCTTGCTTGCTCCCTGCGCACGCTTGGCGTGATGTCACTTAACCTCCCCTCCCCCCTTTTGTTTTGTGGTTCTTCCACCACATTGCTTGGTCCTTTTTCCACTTTCTTCATGGTGTTCCACCGCCACAACGTTTGTTGCCTCGCGTGGTGACATTCTGCATTCGTGTTCTTGTGTCCGGACGGAAGCTGGCTTCTCACTTGCCGAACCAGCCAATCCCCTACCCGCTCGCTTACATTCATGCACATTCGAGTGTATGGTTACGCTTGTTGGCAAGTCAGACTTTTTTTTTTTTTTTGCTTGTTTCGGTGCTCACAAGGCCGGTATCATTCTTCTTTGAGACTTTGGCCTTTGACACCAACTCCCACTCCTGCATTCTTTCCAAGATTTCACACGTTGTTCATGTTCTTCACAGCACTTCCACCACCTTTCTCTCCCAGCCTCACTTGTTCTCCATCATACGCATCCCCTTCCTTCGTTGTTCTCTGTTCCCTCTTCTCTTGGTACACCCTCAACTCCCCTTACATGTCCACGCGTCTCATATCTCTTCATCGCTCCCCCGTGCTATTCTCTACGAACCCTTCTCCTTGATACTTTGCTGTCCTTTGCTCTCTCTAACTGAACAACTGCGTCACCCTCCCCTTCCCCCTTCTCTTCTCTTCTCTTCTTTCACCCTTCTAACTGCACATCCCTCACTCCACTCTGAATCAGCAACCTGTTAAAACCGCTGCTGATGCTTTTGTTACATCTGGTTTTGTCCTGTTCTTTGGTGTTTGGCTGTGGTCACTGCGGGATGTCATTGTTCTCGCATCGGTCCTTGCTTGCTTGCATGCACAGTTCAAACACCATGTTTTACCGTTATGAGCGCAGCCACAAGGTGGTGGTATTGGCGATGCGAATGTTGTGCTTGCAAGCAAGCAACATGGTTTTTTATCGCCGACGCACTCCCTGTGAGCTCGCATCTTGAAACCGTTACTTCCCACTTGCTTTTAAGTGCGCTTTCGTTGCGTTCTGTCTGCTGTTACAACTGCGTTGCTGCTTTGCTGTGTCGCTTGGTGCTGCTCTCATCTCTCTGCACAGGCAACACACAACTCTTACTGAGGCATGTGCAATGCACACGTCGTTGAGTCATGCGTGTTCTGTGCCGGCGGTGGCTTTTGCTTTGGCATCGTTCTGTTGCTGTGCCAGTTTGTGCGTGTGCCGTCTGTCTGTATTGACTTGGCTGCTGCACACGTAACGAAACAGTGAAGCACAATTCAACGACACACACGCTACTCCTCGCTTATGTTACAGTCATGCATCTCGCTGAAGAATGGGTGAAAGCAAAGAAAAAAGAGGTGGTGGGTGGAGAAGGATTGCAGAAATAGGAATTCGCGACCAGAACACAACATACAGGCACATTGCACTAGAACATCACACACAGATAACACAAGTACACAACTTCCACACACATCACACAAACACACTGTACTACAGACACAACACAACACAACACAACACAAGGCAACACAGCACAAGGCAGTACGCTATGTACACGAAAAGTCCGCCCAACTCATTGGCTGTCGATGTTGTGCGCCTCAATAACGCTGCGCAAGCGATGCAGCACTTGCGTCATGATGCTTGGCACGAGCGGGCGGAAGTGGATGCCATCGCCTTCAGCGGTCGCCCAGCACTGGTGAACCGTCAGCGCATACGCGTTGACAACCTCCACATTGCGAAACCCAGAGAGCAGCGAGAGCTCCGACTGCGACAGTTGCGCAACCGCATGTTCGCTGCGGCACGCGTGGAAGCACGGCGCGTCCATGTGCAAACGGCTCACGTGGTCGCCAAGCTCGTGCTCGCACGCCTTGCGCAACGTGTCAGACTGCTCTCGGCAGTACCGCGCGGCCCACTTGTGCTCGGCGTCAAACTTGGCCTCGCACACGGCGCTCGTGGTGACATACACGGCGGGGATGTTGGCGGCCTGCACGTGTTCGAGAGCGCCGCGCAGGTTCTCCTTGAACTTGGACCAGTGCTCGTAGTACTTCCACTTGCTGTGCGGCATGGTGTGCAGGAGGTCCACGCCCGCGGAGTCGAAGAAGACGACGGCAGGGCGCTCCTCGTCGCTCGGCGTCCACTTCTGGACCACTGCCGGCACCGCAAAGTAGAACTGCACGGTGGCGTTGATGCTGCCCCACATGCCCGAGCACCCCAGCTCGCCGGCGGAGGCGTGGTCTGGGGCCGTGCGCCGATACGTCTCGTCCAACATCTGGCACAAGAAGGCGCTGATCTCGCGCATGTGCTGCCCGCCCACGGCCATGATGTACCAGTTGCCGTGCAGGGACGGTTGCACAAACTGCAGCAGTTGCCGCCGCCAGTACTCTGCGTGCATCTGCGACGACTTGAGGTCGTAGAAGGCCGTGTGTGCCTGGAACAGCGCGGGATCGCCTGCATTGTCCGCTTCGCCGGCGTCTGCGCTGTCGAGCTGTTCGCCGTCAGCCACTGACGGAATGGCGATGCATGGTTGTGGGCTCGTCGACAGCGCCACTGCCATGCTCAGCAGCACCCCTGCTGCTATCAACACGACACGGTGTCCGCATATTCTGGTCATCTACATCGATGTGTGCGTGCGAGTGTAATTTTGTGTATGTGTAAGTTCACAAGTGTGCGCGTGTATTTGTGGATGTGTTCATGAGTGTGCGCGTGTAATTGTGTGTGTATGTGTGTGCGTGTGCGCGTGAGAGTCGGGAGGTGGCAGGGGTGACTGATGTTGCACGTGCTGTGTTGGCTGTGAGGCAAAGACAACATGTTCGCAAAACCACATGCACGCACACACACGCACGCACACAATAACAAACAAACGAAAACACACACTCGACTAACCTTTTGAGACGCGGTTGTTGCGTGCGCTGTGTCGTGCAATTGCTTCTTGCCTTAGTTTGTCCTGCTTGCCTTGGTTGCACTCCTTGCCTTGCTGTTTGCTTGGAAGGAACTGCAAGATCACACGCTCAACCTCGTTCACCTCCGGACCAAAGCGCAAGAGACGACCAAGGCGAGGGAGTTGATGTGAGTTGAGTTGAGTTTGGTTGGTGGCAGGGCGCGGTTGAAGAAAAGTGGCGCTTGGTATTTCCATTTTTCTTTGCGATGACGATAAGCGCACAACTGAGAGGTTGAGGAAGTGGACCAGAGAGAGAGGGGTGGAGATGGTGAAGGTGGCTTGGCCACTGCTGCTTGCTGCTTGCTTGCTTGCTTGTCTCGCTGGTGGGCTGTGGGTGCTTTGCTTTGTGGTTGATATTTTGGTGCTGGCTTGTTGGCGCGGCTTCGTGCGTGGTCTTGGTAGTTGTGGCGGCTCAGCACGCCAGAGTATTTGGGTTGTTTTCCTTTTCTCTTTCCTTTGCCTGTCACTGCTGCCACTCCTGTGAGATGAGGCGGGCGGCAATGGCATCGAACCAGCGGCAGCCTTGTTGCTTTGCGCTGCATCGGTGGTTGAGAGCGCCCAATCACGGCTTCTGCTCTCCCCCTTTGGCTGCTGCATCCAAGCACGGGCTGCTCCTGTTTTGTCTTGTCTTTGATTGCTTGTTCCATCATCTACCGCTCGTTGGCGCGTGACATGTGCTCTGTGATTTCGGACCATCCCGCTCTGCTGTGTTGTTTGCCTTTGCTTCTGCCTTGGCTGCTTGGCACGAAGCCGCTCTTGCTTGCCTATTGCTGCGCCCACCAACCACAAGCAAGACACCCGCCCCCACGCGGCAAGCACCAAATGCTCGCGCAAAGCGCCCTTCCCTCTCCCTTTTCCCTCGTCTCTCGTTCCACAAACAAAACCCTCTTCCGTGAAGTGCAAGTTTTCAACCCGAGCAAAGTCCACACGTCACACACGTCACATATCGAAGCACACAATTCACTGACCACCCACACCAGCAAACAACAACAACAACAGCGACCCACAACCGCAGTGTGTAGTGGTGACACACAGAAGGCAAAGAAAGAAACGTATGACGAGGCTGGCGGGATCTACAAGCAAGGGAGATGGAGGACGTGGTGTGCATGGTGTGTGACTTTTACTTGCCAAACCTCGGTGGGGTTGAAGCACACATCTTCCAGATTGCACACACAATCAGCGCTGGAGGCACCAAGGTTGTATGTATGTGTGTGTGTTGTGTTGTGTTGTGTGTGTGTGTTGTGTTGTGTTGTGTGTGTGTGTTGTGTTTGTGTTGTGGTGTGTTGTGTTGTGTTGTGTTGTGTTGTGTTGTGTTGTGTTGTGTTGTGTGTGTGTGTGTGTTGGTGATTTGTCGGTAAGAAGCAAGCAAATCGCGCTCACTGGCAAGGCTGTTGTGCTGTGGTGGTGTTGTGATGTAGGTGGTCATCGTCACACACGAGTATGGCGAGCATCGTGGCGTTGTCCGATGCAAGGACAGGCCTCTCGTCACATATTACCTTCCCCTCCCCGTCATGTGGCGCCAGGTTTGTTGCCACCGCTGTTGCAACTGCGTTGCATGTGACTCCCTCCCATCCCATCGCTGCGTGGTGCTCACTGGTATTGTTGTTGGTGTGTGTTTTGTTGTTGCTGCCAGAACACGTATCCGACGGTGGTGGGCGCGTTTGCTGTCCTGCGGCGCCTGTTCCTGTTCGAAGGCGTCACCATCGTCCACGGTCACTCTTCCTTCTCCACCCTCTGCCACGAAGCATTGCTCTGCGCCTCACTCATGAGCCTTAAGGTGTGTGTGTGTGTGTGTGTGTGTGTGTGTGTGTGTGTGTGTGTGTGCACATGTTCATGTGTTTGAGTTTCGGTGCTGTGAATGCTTGCACTTGTTCAGCCAAGGTTGCATGGCCACGCTACGACTGGATTTGCTTTGCGTAATCTCACGAACCACTGCCGTGCACATCAATGGCGCACCCACAGACGGTGTACACCGACCACTCTCTGTTGGAGATGATGGACTTATCCAACCGCCTTGTTTCCAAGATCCTCGCGTTTACCCTCTCCCACACGAGACATGCCATCTGCGTATCCCACACATGGTGCGATGTGTGTGTATGTGTGAGTGTGTATGTGTGTGTGAGTGAGTGTGAATGTATGCACATGTCCTCTGCCCCTTTGTGTGAATGCGTTGTTCTTTACAGTTCAATTGCACGCTGCTTGCTAGCGCTGGCATCCACGCTGACCCCCTTCTTCTCCTTCGCCACGCTCCCTTTTCATTGTCCATCGTTCGTGCCAGCCGGGAGCACCTCGTGTGCAACACGTTGATGCCGCCGGCTCGCACATCTGTGATTCCAAACGCGGTCGATGCTGATCACTTCCGCCCGCCGCGCACACCGGGCCCTGCCACCACCATCGTCGTCGTCAGCAGGTAGACTGTGTGTGTATGCGTGTGTGTGTATGTGTGTGTACCTGAAAGGGGTTGGGTGTACGTTGGCGTCTGCAGTTGCTTCTCTCATCCTGTGGCTCCCGCATTCACTATTCTCAAGAACACACACCAACTCACACACACACACACACACACACACACACACACACCAACACACACACACACACACACACCAACACACACCAACACACACACGCCACCACCCCTCCCCCACATTCAAACAACTGCTGCAACCTAGGCTGTATTGGCGCAAAGGCATCGATCTTCTCGCCCGCACAATCCCGCGCGTGTGTGCACGTGATGCTCGCGCGACGTTTGTGATTGGCGGCGACGGGCCCATGCGCATCCACTTGGAGGAGATGAAGGACAGGCACAACGTAAGCGCAGTGATGTGACTGTGGTGGTGGTGGTGCTGCTGCTGTATCTGTTGTCTAGTTGTGTGTGAGTGTTTGTGTGTGTGTCTGTGCGTGTCTGTGTGTGTGTGTGTGTGTCTGTCGGTGTGTTTTGCATTGTGAATGTGTGTGTGTGCCACACATTAGCACGCTCACCCTCCGCCTTTCCAATCACCCACAACCCAACACGCATCACCCCTAACCATCCCCATCCAACACTCCCCGGCCCACCAGCTGTCCGGCCGCGTGCAACTGCTCGGCAGCGTCATGCATCCAGATGTTCCGGCCGTATTGGGTCGTGGTGCCGTCTTCCTCAACTGCTCGCGCACGGAGTCGTTCTGTATGGCCATTCTCGAGGCAGCCAGGTGGGTACGTGTGTGTGTGTGATGTGATGTGATGTGATGTGATGTGATGTGATGTGCATGTGTGTGTGCGTGTGTGTGTATGATTGTGTGTACATGTGTGTACATGTGTGCAAATGTGTGTGTGTCTGTGTGAACAAGCCTCCATTACACCCCTTTCCCTTCTTCTCCCTCACATCATCACACCACCAACACCACCACTACCGCCACCACCAGCTGCGGGCTGCATGTTGTGACGACGAACGTTGGCGGTGTCCCCGAAGTGCTTCCGCCATCCATGTGCGACCTGTGCAACCCGGACCCTGAAGGTGCTGATGATGATGGAATGGTGTGGTTGTGATGGTGGTGATGATGATGAAATGGATGTGGTTGTGGTGGTGGTGATGGTTGTGAGATGGTTGTGGGGCAAAGGAGAGTTCTTGTTCGACCAACATCGTACATCCACTCACACACCTCTACACCCACCACATGTACATGTGCACATGTGTACATGTGTGCAGAGTTGGCGGCGGCAGTGCTGCGGGCCCTGAATCGCCCAAAGGTCATTCCCCACTGCACCCGATATGGTGCTCGTGGCTGTTTGTGTTGTGCTGTGTGTGTGTGCGTGTGTTGTGTGTGTGTGTGTGTTTATGTGTGTGTTTATGTGTGTGCATGCGTATGTGTGTGTGTATGTGTGCGTGTGTGTGTGCGTGTTTATGTGCGTGTGTGTGTGTGTGTGTGTGGACCTGCAACACTCGCGCATCTAACGTGTGTGCATGTGCGTGTCCCTGCGTCTTGCTCTCGTCAACATCACACAGAACAACCCGCTTGTACAGCACCAGCAGGTGTGGTAGCGTGTGCGTGTGCATCACGACATGCCTTTGCATATGTGTCAACCTTTACTCCACATCCGTTTCATGATGTGATTGTGTATTCACACGTTATGTGTGTGTGTGTGTGTGTGTGTGTGTGTGTGTGTGTGTGTGTGTGTGTGTGTGTGTGTGTGTGTGTGTGTGTGTGTGTGT